ATTTCGCAAGAGAATTTCGATTGTTACAGCTCGCGAGACACTGACAAATTCACTCACGATCTATCAGCCAACTGACTTCGACACTGACATGGCCAAAGTTTCCTACTAGCCATGAATCTGAGCAGTCTTCTACTCCGATTCAAAAACCTTATTTCCTAGTAAAGTTCAATTTTAGCTTGCAGCACTTTCTTTACTGTAGAGTTCGTTGAGCTGTTTTGTGAATATCGTGGTAATCATTTGCTTCGTCAACGCAGCACATCCCTTACCTCTGAATCAGCGTCGCTGTCCACAAAAATTGCCTCTGCAATGCATCTTGCCGTTTGGCGCTAATCTCCATGTGCTCGAAAAACTTGAGCCTTCGATTTTGTTTTGCTGGTTAACGTGAGCTCGAAGTAATCTCGTAAAATTTCTTCATGTGGTGTACAAAAAACGGAAACAATTCTAACGTTACCAAGGGTAAGAAAAACGTGCATACACCTTAATCATATGTAAACAAACAAACAAACAAACAAAAAAGTTGCATAGTCTGCATGGTCTGCGCAGTCTGCACAGTCTCCATGGTGTGAGGTCCGCGTTTTATCATGACCGATGCGACCACTGTAGAGTGCAGTTCACTCACGTGGTCTATGGGTGTGCAAATTTAGAGGGATAGAAAAAATTGCTTGGAAAACAAAAGCGTTCAAATCCCACAGGATTTGCTTGCAACACCGACATGGTGACAGACCACACGTTTCCAATTACGATAAACTTTGAACAAAGATAGATGGATATTTATGGGAGCCAGGAAAGGTCTCTTTCTAGGTAGAATTTTCGGCATTTAAACGTAACCGCTCTTAAGATTTCATAAGTCATCATATCTCAGTGCGAATAAAAGAAGATACTACCAGATTTTAGAATCAAAAATTTTCTAGAAAAGAAAATAGTGGCAGGCCACCTCCAACCTTTATAACCATTGCTTGACTTGACTTGGCTAACCTTTTAAAGAAAATCGGGAAGTATAGAAAAGAGAATTTGTTATTTTTTGGAAAATTACCGTGTAAATGCAGATCTTTCGCGATTTTGAAAGGTTTAAGTTTTTAGTTGAGCTGGTTGAACACCGTTTTATGCCGGCTTTAGTAAGATTAGTGTAATTGGACTTTTATGCAACAGGCGTGCAGGATGGATGCCACGGCAGACCAAGTTTGTGTACAATCATCAAAGGAGTCTCGGAAAAGAAAGACATGTATCCTATGAGTAACACCACTTCTAAGCTTATTGCCACTGTAGAGGTAAGGCTCCAAATCATCACACAACCTATTTAAAACCCTTTGAAACTAAATTGAATCATTTTTTCGTTTTATTGTATACATTTCTGAAATATTTTCACTGTTAAAATCCTGTAGAATTTCACCGATTAAATAGCCTGGAAGAGTGAAGACTACCTCTCGACTTATACCAGCTTATCCATTTCATTCAATATCACCAGATAATGACCATTGGTTTATTTTATTACATGACCTTTTAAGCTTCTGTAATGTGTAATGATCATCCTGAGTCTATCCACGTATTTTAAACTTTTTCCTGAAGCGTTTTTAGTATAACCATCTCGGAATAAGAGCTCTACCTCGACTTCACCATCCCGCGTGCTTTTTGACCGCAACATGCAGAAACGTGCCATAACTTGCCCTTTATCGCAAACCATTTTCTCTGTGTTTTTCCGGTAACCAACTAAGGGGAATTTCATGGCCCAGTTCATAATTATAAGCACTTGGTTGTTGACCAGGTTTTCAATAACAGTGCAGCGTCTTAAAGGGCTGCCCTGGGGATGTGCGCTATCCACTCGTTATCGACGTCATGCTGTAGTTCTTTTAGCTGGTATTTGCTCTAACTATCAATTTAAAGGAATTCCGCCCATCCGAAAAAATTCTGCTCACCATAAGATAAAAAAAACATATAATATCCTTTTTCGTCCTTTTGACGCTTCCAACCTTTATAAGCTTACTCGAATCAGAATCTTACAGTACGACTTCAGCGATCCTCAAGCCAGCAAAGATGTTTGCGATCGCCGTCGAGCCACACTTAAAAGTCACATGAGGCGATTCATAAAAGAAGGAAACGACTAAAACAACGCCGGTGACACGAAGGCTGCGATTAAACAGTATGGGGAAGGGGGAGGGATGAAAGGGTGCTACGTCACCGACGCAGAAATTAAAGACTCTTTCCAAAATATAAAAAAGCGCAACATGGCTGGCATTTAAGCCATGAACAACTTTTCCTTTGAGTCTGAGAGCTTGGAAAAGCGTACAGTGTGGGCAAGTTTTTATCGCTGGGAAAGCTTCAGAATTATGGTTCTGCACAAGGTGCGTAAGTGTTTACCAGGAATTCAAAAGTCTTGAGAATCGTCTCGATGTTAGGCGCCACTTAACCGAGCAAAGTGGGCAGAAACCTGTAAAATTATGTGCTAGGTGCAACCGTCCTCAAATTTATAATTTCTTGCAACAACAGAATCGAATGCAGCACCCGCCAACAGTTCATCTTTGGAAGGGTTCGAGCTTTGAAGAAGGAGAAGAAGTCTACCAGATTTTCTCGACGAGTGCAGCCATTTTTACAAGAGATATTCTTTCAAGGAGAAGAAACCGGCAACAAGGCAAATCCTCCTGATCTTGCACCTAAAATGAAGCGTCTAAGACAAGGAAATGGAGACAAATTATTCACCAAGGAGGAATGACTTTCAGTGGTTCAAATTGCTTGATATTGCAGCAGGCTATCAGCCCTTGATATGGCCGATCTCCCGAATGGAGTTGAAAGTGTTTCATTGGAGGATGAATATACGATCGATACGTTAACAATGCAGAGGCAATGGAGACGAGATTTCATATAAGGAAGAGAACTATAAACTTATTACTGGCACAAGAAGATTCGTAAAGGTTACTGTCAGGTAATCTTCTTCTTGTGAGAAACCTCTGGAATCATTGGCTTCAGTGTGAGTAAAAGAGGCGTTTATGCTGTTAAAAGGGACTGATAATGAAAAAAAAAAGACCGATTAAGACCTTTCATTTTTGAAAACAACATTTTCAGAAGCCTCTCCCTGCCTTATTCTACAGAAATTGGAATCTTGATGGATCTTTTACATCTTAGAAGCCAACCTCACTCGTCATAGTTCAATTTTTTTCTTAACTTTTTGTTATGTTTTGTTTGTTTGTTTGTTTGTTTTTTTTATTGAAGTGAGGTTATTAGTGTAACAGGAACAACTGTCCCGTAATTGTACATAATGTACCTAAAATTGGATGGAGTCCTCTCCAAAGCATTCCACAGAAAAAGATTATGGCGCATTGAGGGAAATGATATTTAATAGGTATAAAGTGTTTCAATTGTGTAAATTACATTTAGCAAACGTTGCTCAATTCGGTTACTCAATTCGGTAATGCTTAATGTATGATATATACATACATTTACGAATCATTTTTTCTAATAGATTGTGTCAGAGTCACAGAATTTCTATGATAAGTGACTCCTTTTAGACATTGTTACCTCAAAAACTAACGCCATTCTCAAATTGAAATTGAGTGCATAAACATCAGTTTATGACCAAAAATTGCATAAATTAACGTCAGAGGTCACGTATTTCAGAGGGACGTGTTTTACAAAGCCCAAAAATTCTTTTTGTCCATAAACGTATTGTTAAGATAGGTCTTTCCTGTGCTGGTATTTTTGTCGACAAACAGTGTTGCCCTTTAGAGCTGAATTGCCATTAAAAAAACCATAATTTTTTTGTTTTCGGAATAGTTGCGTGACACAGTTAATGATTAACTGCTTTAAAACTTTACGGAATTTTTCCTTAAGGTTCAACAACCACTGGACATAATAAGGTCAAAATCCATCGTAATAAGGTCAAAATCCATCGCATTCTGTCGGTGTGACAGAGATTTGTTGGAAGTGCATTTTTCGAGCTAATTTTAGCCTCTTACCCGAGGTAAATTTCATGCCTATTTATCAATTTTGTGGTATATAACTTTCGCATTTTAGTACGTAATATTTATTTTGAATCTTCAAATTGACTTGAAACTTAAAAGGAAACTGTTCTTTAAAAATTCACTGAAAATCGGTAGCCAAAATTGTTTGTTTAGGTGTTATTGATTTTCGTGTTAACCTGTAATTTCGTCAGTCGCCGGCACCTTTTGTTGCTTCACACAGAAAAAACACACGATACGAAATGTAGTGATCGATTTTGTCCCCAATCTCACGCCATGACAGAAAAAGCTTTTGAACACCTGTAAACTCTGAGCGCTTCGGAGAAAGTGATAATTTTAATGAATCTTCGGATTGTTTTCAAGTTCAAGGACTGTAAATTACAATTTTTACGAAAAACGAAGGTTGTTCTCTCATTTCATTGTGAATCCACGCACACCTGCCAGTCGCTGGCGCCGCTTGTTGAAACTAAAACGAATAAATATAAACTCTTTTAAGATTATCATTGGCTTCTTTTTCACCCCACCACTATTCTTAGCAACAAAGGTCGCCATTTCGTTTGTTTACTGTTACACGACGTACCATTTCAGATGCAAATAACAACCGCTGACCAACTCGTTTTCTTTGTTTTGCCGTGAGTTAATTTTGTTTTGCCGTAAGTAAAGTTTGTTTTGCCGTGACTTTTTGTTTTGCCGTGACAGATGTGAACCACCGCAAGTGACCCTCATAAACCGCGAAAGTTTGAAAGAAATCGGTGAGATGGCATGTGTCACGCCCGCCCGGTCCTCTCGTGGACAGACTCTTAAGTCTACACATTTTGTATATTAAATCTTCAATTTCTTTAATAAATAAGTCTTTGCGTCCAAGTAAACGAGTTATTCCCGTGGATGAAGGTAGTAGTATTTATCAGTAACGCTATTTAGCAGTAACGCTATCGTAAATCGTGCCCATCGCAATATTTGAAAATCACGCAACTACTCCGATGTGCATGGCTGCTCTCATCGTGCATTGCGATCGTGCAGGAGTGTTTGAGACAGTTCGGTTCGTTTTCGATTTATACGCTGTGATCAAAGTAACCATGAGTAGGGAAACCCATTCGGAGGACCAAAAAGAAAAAAAACATGGTCTGGAAGATGCGGAAAAGTTCTTTAAAGATGCCTGCAAAATATTTCAGCGAGAAGCAGCAAAACTTCGCCAGGAGAGAGAAGCGATTGACGACATGTCGAAGAAGTTGAAACATGTTCACTTTTCTTCGACTGCAAAACTCAATGTCGGTGGCCACCACTTCACAACAAGTCTTCAAACACTTACTAAAGATCCAAATTCAATGCTGGCAGCCATGTTTTCCGGGATGTTTGAAATGAAAGCTAATGAAGACGGCGCTTTCTTCATCGATCGGGATGGAACTCACTTCCGGTTTATACTTAATTATCTTCGCAATGGGGAGTTAATTTTGCCAGATGGTGCAACATTTCTCAAAGAGCTCGAAGCTGAAGCTAAGTTTTACCAGATCCAAGGAATTCTGGATGAGTTGAAGCCTAAAGCACCGAAGAATTTTGAAGAATCAGTGATTCTGACAAATGAAGAGCACCAAAGCAAGCTTAATGGCTGGCTGCCTCAATATGATAAATGGCATCTACTTTTCCGTGGTTCTCGAGATGGCTTCACAGCTCATGCATTTCACACCAAATGTGATAATAAAGGGCCCACGGTTACCATTGTGAAAAGCGGAAACAATGTTTTTGGAGGATTCACGAGAAATTCTTGGAAAAGTAAATAAGAAGCCTGCTTTACTATGCTCTAATACTAAAGTTCCATTTTTATTTTGCTCTTGGGGGGTATCCGGTCACTTCGTTCCATGACCACTTCGTTCCAAACCACTTCGTTCCATCCTTTGGTCACTTCGTTCCAAGTGTAAACTAAGCGTGTAAACTTCTAATCTTACAAAACTAGTAAACGGTATACACCGTCTGTTGTGACGGCCATTTTGAAACTTGTGAAGTACCTGCCGTGTGCGTGGAATCTGGGACTACCGGAAACAACTATACGTGTACACGTTGATCATAGCAACCAGACCAAAGTGTATCAATGTGTGTTTCACTGGACGCAAGCCCTCTGGAGAAAGGTAAGATAAATTTGATTCAATATTCATGTGCTCAATTGTATCGTGTGATAGTTGAATGAACTATCGTACGATAGAAATTGAGAGCAAATAATTTAATTGTTTAAGTATAAATCTAACGGGCGTTCAAAACTTAAAAACACGTTCTAGAATGGAATGAAAAGATAGTGAGTAGTGCTGCCAATCAGAGTACAACAGAACGCGATTAGATTTATATTTTTATACTAATAAGTTTCTATGTATTATTTACTAGGTGCAGGACCTCGGTCTCCAAACCGCTTACCGCCACGACCGGGGGACGTACAGCTTTGTCAGAAAAAAAATGGCCCTGCCGTTCTTACCAGAACGAGAAATACGTCCAACGTTCGAAGCACTACGCAACGAGGCGTCGGGAACACTAATCGACTTTGCCGAATACGTATCCAGCACTTGGATCAACGGCAGCACCTGGGCTCCAACAGACTGGACGTGCTACAAACAGGCCATCCGAACGAACAACGACGTGGAAGGTTGGCACAATTGCCTAAATCGCCGAGCTTCTGGAAGAGCACAACTGCCCATGTACCTCCTTATCCAGCTTCTTTACAGGGAAGCGAAACTGACAGCGATCCAGATCCGCCTGGTATCAGAGAGGAAGCTGCGACGAATCCAGCGACGAAAGTATAGGGAGCTACAGCAGAGAATATTTGAGCTGTGGGACCAGTACGAGGCCGGGGAAAGGTCAGCCAGACGACTACTGAAGGCCTGCTCTTATCTTAATGGACCAGTAGAATTGTAAAAATAAGTTAATAAAGTATACCAAACAAAAAAAAACGGCTCCTTTAGGAGCCACTTTATAAATGAAAGCAATGACCAACAGGAGAAACCTACGTAAAGTAGATAATTAATAACAATTACTTACATAAACAATGAAAATGCGAACGCGCGAAAGACTGAGTTCTATAACAATGGTGGAACGAAGTGACCAAAGGATGGAACGAAGTGGTTTGGAACGAAGTGGTTTGGAACGAAGTGGTCATGGAACGAAGTGGCCGTTATTCTCTTGGGGAATAGGGTACACCAAGAGAACATCAAATGCAGATGTTCTTATGAGTACACCTGAGATGGATGAAAGGAGCAGGAGGCTGTTGCTCCTTAATCTTGTGCATCAGTGATGCCTTTCAACGAAGGCAAGCCAAAAGTCTAGCCAAAAGTTACCTTGGTTTTCTAAATCAGTTGTTTCAGAGAAAAATCTTGTCTTTTATGCATATTCAGTGTAGCGAGCAAAAGTTGTCCGAACATTTTCCCAAATGATCGTCGGGTTGGCATCCTTAATTTCTTCATGGTCTTTTTATACAGGTCACGGTGATCACCTTCCCTCCGAAGAAGCGTTCTTGTTCAGCATGGTGAATCCGCGTGGACTGGCACCGTGTAAAATGCTACTAAACAGCGGAAATATGCAATATGCTATTTATTGTAACAGCAACGCTGGACCATCATTTGGAGGGGGTTCTGACTTATACATATCCAACGATGCAAACTCAAGTTACAGTAATCTTGGCCACACGTATCAGCTTCCTAAAGGATATGAGAGCACATCCTTTACCGGAGCTGATAAATTTATCGTGACAGATTACGAGGTGTTTGGAAGTCACTTGTTGTGACACGGAAGTGATAGCCATATAATAGACTACAGCTGCTTAATGTGTATTAGTAAAGTCATTTGTTTAAAAAAAAAAATAGACAAATGAATAAGCTTATTTGTAAGGCAGCTTTCTTCCCCTTTCGTTTCATGAAAATTTGAAGATAGGAGCTTCTAATTTAGTTTTATCAGAGAGCGATTCTATTCATCAACTTTTGGTTCAATATTTACTCGGCCATTTTTCGAACACCTCCTTACACTTGGTAGATGTTATTATTACGAAGTAAAAAGATGGATTTGCTTGTCTGAGCTGTATAATAGACGTTTGAACTCTTCATTATCCATTATTGCGTTCTAAAGTTGAAATATCTTTTCGCTTTCTACCTTTTTAGAGCTTGGAATACCACTCGTAACCATTCTCGTGTAAACGGAACTCTTCAACTGAGTGGCGAAGTGCAAATTTTAAAAATAAAAGTCTGTATCGTTCATAAAATGGCTTAAATTGATTTCGGTATTTTTGAAACACAACTCGTCGATAGTGCTAATTACTTTAGCTTGTTTTTGTTTTGTTTATTTGCTTTTTTGTTTGTAATTTTTTTTTTTTTTGGGGGGGGGGGTGGAGGGAAGGAAGGGATACCAAAAGTAACTAAGTATCACCGTGTTTAGTGGAAAATGTATGAGCACAACCGAACGAAGTCTTCATATTTACGGTACTAATCCCAAAGCAACTCAGGTCTCGATCCTCATAAAGCTTAAAACTTGTATTGAAAACTTATCTTAATAAGATTGTATTTCCACAACTCGCCTTAAAATCGAAACCCCTGAAAACACGCGAAGAACGAATTTTCACATGTAGATCTTAAACTTTTTACATTTATTTTAAATCGCTCCAATTCACTAATTCCTTGAAAAAAAAACAAAAAGCAAAACAAATCATGAATTCTGAAAAAATATTCTATTGCTAGAAACCAAGTTACTGTTCCATTTTATCATCTGTATTGTCGTGTGCATCATGCTTATGTGCATCATACTGTTACCGAAAGTCTAATAATGATTTACCGTCATATTGAAATGAACTATTTGAGTGCACTCGACTATTTCAAAATGAGTGAATCATAATGGCTTTTTGCTCTTTCATCTTCCAATATCACTTACAGCAAATTAATTGCTGATACCTCTTTATCTGGAGACGTCTAGTGGTGATAAAAAGCAGCCGCAAGCTATTAGTTTCAAGAGGATGTAAAACATGCGATGACAGCATTAAAGTTTTATGAGCTACAGGCTACAGGTTATCACTTACTCAAAGAAAAGTTTTCTTTTATAATTTCCTCTCGTCTCTGGAAGATTAAAGAAGCCTGAAGGAGCACTGAATTGATTAGAAACATCACGCGTTAGAGAAAAGACGACGGTAGATCTTCAATTTTTCCCACGATTTTATTTCTATAGCTAAAGCTGTGGCAACCGGTCCGCTGGCACTAAAAGGATATAATGAAATTTTTCCGTTGAGATTAACTGTGTGAATATCAAACCAACAGAGGAACTGAGTATCTACACCAGGGGCAACTTCGCTTTGATTTGGTTCTCTTTAACGCTACAGATCATAATATGAACTTCACCGATAGGGGCAATGGCGATACAGAGTCTTTTCACTCAAACGAAGAAAATGAAAGAACTATAACTATCATAAACTCTGCGCTAAACGTTCCATTGATACTGACATCAATTTTAGGAAACGGTTTAGTCGTGGCCGTCATAATTAAAAATCGCAGTCTTCAATCTCCATCCATGATTTTCCTGTTCAGCCTGGCGCTATCAGACCTTCTTGTCGGTTTGGTTGCACAACCTCTTTACATCGCGAACACCTTGACAACTAACATTCATTTTTTAAAACTTGCAACAGGTATGATGGCCTTTTTCGTCTGTGGAGTGTCACTGGATACCGTAACAGCCATTAGCGTGGATCGCCTAATGGCGCTAACGTATCACCTTAGATACCCGAGCTTGGTGACTCCGTGTCGCGTAAGATACACTACGGTGCTGATTTGGTTGTCTAAAGTCCTTACTTCCAGTCTTTACCTTTGGAAGATGCGCGAATGTCATTTCGTAGTTGCCTTTACCACTGTAATGTGTCTCTTGATTTCAACATTTTCTTACCTAAAGATCTATGGCATCGTTCGACGCCACAGGTTGCGCATTGACGCGCAGCAACTGGCGGTCCGTAGCAATTGCAGCCCAGAAAACGTTGCGCACATGGCGCGTTTGAGAAAAAGTGCATTGAACATGTTTGTTTTCTACATTGTCTTGATTTTATGCTACTTCCCCATGTATATATTATCCACTCTTCATGGAGCTTCTCTCTTGAATTGGGAAACCAAATGGGACTTTGCCCACACTGCCGTGTTCATGAACTCGTCCATTAACCCAGTTTTATACTGCTGGCGGCTTCCCGAACTTCGAGAAGCAATTGTAAAGATGTTACGTAAGATATTCTGCGTTCAAACACATCAAAACTGAATAGTAACATTTGCTTAATTTATCGATAGTCAATCTCTACTCGATTATATTTGTTCCTCCTTTTGCTAAACCACTGATTGATAGCACATCTTATTTCATAAATGTACGTCGAATATGGCGGCTTAAATTTTCATGCGAAATATAGGGAGCGTAATACCAGCGAGAAAGCTTTATCCTCTTAGTATAACTGAGACAGCATTTAGGTTACTTTGCAAAGGGTTTAATTTTTGTAAATTTTGTGGAGTGTTCTCGATCCTCAAGGTTTCAGTTTTAGCGGAAAATGAACTCCCGCAGAACAAATCGCAAATCGCCGTAAAAAATATCGCTACTTTCGGTCCTGTAGGCAAAACTAAAACATCAATTAGTAACGGTCGTGTTCTTGGTGTGATTTAAATCGTGCGAAAACAAAAACACTAAAAATTAATTTTTAGATGAAAAAAAAACAGAGCTTACCAAATATTTACCTTTAAAAACAAAAATACGCGGTTAAATGGAATTCAGTGAAATGTTTTTAACCGTGCAACTAACCACATTTTAAAAGATAAAATCATTCCTTCTCTGAATCCTCCCGCGCAAAATTCCTTCCGTTTGGATATCGGAGGAATTAGTTCCCTATCCAAAATTCAGTGTTCTCGATTAGGGAATATGTTATTCCGCCAAAAAAAAAATATTTATATATCGTTAGTAAACGACATAAACTCCGCGCCACACAATTTGCATGACACACGCTATGAATTACATTACAGGTTGGCTTGAGGGTATTTTATTCAGAGTTAGAAAGATCTTTTGGGGCTATCATTAACACAATATACAAAACTTTTTAAAATTTCTTGTATAGAATTTATCCTTTTAGCACAACTAGGCTTTTGTTCAAGTTAAAGTTATAGTTTGCTTCAGTTAGTAGATGTGGGAGATGATATTGTGAAGCGTAATTGATTTACATGAAACGCGCCATAATTGCTTATGCAAAATAGGAACAAATTAAGGCATGAGGTAAAATTTATCTTCTGAATAGAAACAAGTTTGTTCCGCAAACAATAAAGTCAGCCCGGTGGATTTAAAGTCGTCGATATATCGTCTAGTTTCATAAGTTAATATGGCTAGAACACCAATAATATATTGTGCAAAATGTAACCGCAGATTAACGGGTAGAAAAGCATTTATCCTCTAAGAATAAAGTGGTTTTATTCTAGTGGTAAAGTTATCTTAAATAGAATATAAGACGCTGCAAACTTATGGTTGAGAGTTTCAATTTTAAAACCATTAATTATTTTGGAGCAGTAAATTCGAAGTTGCAGCTGGGCACACATTTATCATATAAATACAAACGAATTTAATTAATGCTAAATATTAGTTCACCCCAAGATAGCTATCGGGTGCTTCTACCCACTATTTTAATTATTTAGATCAAGAGAACGTAAACTCTCATGACTCTCTTGATTTAGATATAGAGCGAGATAATTTCAAAACGAAGTAGCGGATCAGGAAATCTATAATTTTTTTTTATGAAAGCGCTTAAGTTGTTTTCAAAGTGTTAAAAGATGCTTCGAAATGTTTGGTCGAATACACGGTGATGTAACAGAAAGCAAAGGCTTTTTCTGTCAGTTCCGAGGTTTTATGATTCAAATGTGTAGTTCCACTTGATTTAATCCCCTAGAGAGAGGAAACAGAGTTGGTAGTTA